ATTTTCTATCGTTATTATTTTTGATTTTTTTTTTTCAAGCAAAATATTTTTTAAAGTACTTTGATGAGTTTAATGCATGAAAAACAAACTTTGAACGATTATTTCATGAGTTGAATTAATTTAAAGTTTGGTAGAGTGGAGTCGTATAATATAGGAATACCGCACAAAATATTTGACCAGCACTCCACCAGCTCATCAATACTTTAAATACTATTTTTTTCTGAATAATATTTTTCTTCGAATAGTAAAATTAAAAATACCTGTTGTCATTCAAAAAAGTAAACTTAAAAAATTATCTTGATAATTATTATTGTAAACAAAAGCATAATTTTTTTTCCATAGAAGTTTTTTACTATAACTTCAATGCTGTTTTTTAGATTTTAGTACACATTCCTCAATTTATCTATGTAACACGACAAATTTTCTTTGAAACTTTGATATCTAACAATCGGCCACGTATATTTTACTTCATTTTTGTAAATAAGTAGCTATTTATAATCTATATTGATTTGATTAGTGTGCTTATTCGGAGAAAATGTTTTGAACATGAAAGTGGTAAATTAGGTACCTATATAAAGAGTGTTTAGTAAGCAGCTTTAGAATGAAAAACAAGCGCGGATCTTACTTGATCATTTTAACGCGAATTTGTACTAAAAAAAATTTATTAATAATAATGAAAAAAGTACAAAAATATTTTGTAAAAAAAGAAAACAACATCGCCTGTTTGTAATAAGGCTGCTTTTTTATTGAAAATTCGACGTCCTTGATCGCCTTAGATGACTTCGAGCTAATAGTACTGTTTATCGAATCATAATGTTTTGAATATCTCATAATATAATAAACGAGAAAGGTCTGTAAGAAAAAAACCACGCACATAGGACTTAAATTTATTCAACAGAACAGTTTATTACAGTTTCATATTCATTTTTATTTGTTTGGATCCAACAATATTAAGAAGAATCAAATATTATTTCGAATGCTCGAATAGGGCAAACCCGAAATGGTTTTACTACGCGTTTAAATATGTATATTGAATTTTTAAACGTAAAAACAAAATATAAGCAAACTTCAAGTAGCCGGAATTCGAATATATTTACGGAAAACAAACTAACAGTTGAAAAAAAAAGATAAAATAAATTAAACATAATATTATAACTATTTTCTATGACGTAAACGCATAAACACGTTAAATCCATTACAGAATTGCTTATAAAATATTTATAGCTGACACGATATCATCTGCAGGTAACTAATAATAATGGATGACAGCATAATTCCGTACGAGTTGTTTCAGAACCAACTGGATGCAATGCAAATTGCAGGTCATTTGTGTTATTGTGCAAGCTCACAGACAGTAATAATAATTTAAAATTTATAAAATCTCGTGCAAGCTATTTTTTACGTTTTTTATGAACTTACTGTTGATAATCATGATGTCCCTGCAACCATACGTATATATAGTTTAATATTATGATTGTAATCGATCATTTTTTACACGAAAGTAAACTATTTCCTTGATTATTATCCTATAAAATTACATCATTAAATTATTTGTTTAGTCTTAGGGAGACTGGGAGGAATATATTTTTTAACCAACTCCATAATTATTATTATTCAATTGTTTTACTGAAGCTCCGTCAAGTTTTACTTGTTTTCACTTCCTCGATTATTTTCTTAAAAAGCTTTTATTTTGATTGCAAAATAGATAGTACGTTTCTTGATGGAATATATTGTTCAACCATAAATAGGTGTGCGCAGATATTTCTGCCTAAATACATTTGCATAGCATACTACGCATAAATGATAAATCGAACTTCTACCAACTACCAAATTACATATTTCACATCACTATTCATTTTCGAAGCTGAATAAAGCTCACGTAATACCACGTCAGATCACTCTTAATATTCCGTGCACACACGTGCTCAACATAATATTATTCTAAAATATTCAATACATCCATTAATAGAAAATTATAGACTTTATGATCCCGGACGCCAATAGGCAGTGACTACTGACAGTAGTCTACAGGATGCTTTTTATTTTAGGAAACAAATCGTGTTCATTATTATAGAAAATTTTGAAATAATTGACAAATGTCATGTGCAAACTATATATCGAGTTTAATTAATTCTTAAGATTTAAACACAGATATTATAATCGTAATAATATTGTTATGATAGTAAAATCTAAATTTTTTATTTGGAAATACTAATGATTTCACATAACATAACATTAATGTATTCATAGATATATCAATATCACTATTAATACAACAGCATTTAACAGTATTACAAGCCGCGCTACAGTATTATTACTTGTCCCATTTTTAACTAGTGAACCCACATGCGTTTCATTTATGGCGTATAAAACAAAAGTACAAATAGTAAAATATTATTAATATGCATCTCGAAAGATTTTTTTTAAAAATAGTTTTACACAGGACTTGGACGCACGTCTTTATAATACAGAAAGCGATCATAAATCATTGCACTAGAAAAAAAAAAACAAATATCAACAGCTATTATACCTAAAAAAAAAAAAAATAATAATAATAATAATAGTAAAAAACGGTCAATGTAATAAATTTTCTTTTTCTTTTATGTCCGTTCGCTCTTGTCATGTTTTTTTTTTTTTTTCATGAAACCACTGGAAAATTTTAAACATTAACAACCCTATTGATGAATGATAATATACGCTCGGATTTTGATCGTGCGGCACACGACTTGTTGAACTTAAACATTTTCTGGATCTGGATAAGTATTATTATTCTCCGAAAAAATCCGTTGAAATTAAGAACAGAAAATTATTCTGTGAAACCACGTAATTTTATACATAGCATGTAAACCACATAATCGTGTCACGTGGTTCGGTTCACGCATATAACCTCTATTAAAAAACGGATGACGATCAAAATTAGATAATGTTATTTTATTATAATATGTTTATATGTATAATAAATTATTTATATTAAATAAAGTTCAGTGCGTCATTGGTCGTGTATCACAATCTCCCCACGTCCGTTAACTGTCGATTTACATCTACAAATGCAACGTTATCAAATTCTCTAGAGAAATGTCCTAGACACAATGTAATTATTACATGCATAAATTATGCACTGTGTATTAAATGCCATTTATATTTGACGTGGTTTATTGAAATATGACGAATTTTTTATACAAATATGAATCAGTTTTGTCACGACAATTTATAGACCAACCGGAATCTTAATATTTTCATATCCAACCCGAACCGAACCTCTTTAAAAATTACTAAAAGAAATGTTGAATGTAATATTATATGTATGTTTCAATAAATATATAATAAAACAATATTGCATTCATTCTAACAATAATTACATCTTATTTTTATTTTAATTATAAAATTAAGTGTATTAAGTTTAATTTTTAAATTGAACTGTTAAATAGTTTGTTTCAATTCAAATAATAGCAATTTTCAGTTGGTTTTTCGAACCAAAACGAATATTCCAAACTTGGATCATTTCATTTTTATATTACAAGAAGTACACTACTATTTATTAAAATATAAATATTATAAGTAGGTTCGTTGTACTTTTATTTAGTAAAAAATATATATATATTTATTTGACATTAAAATATTTGTAAATTTTACTAAAAATCAAATTGAAACGTTTTGAATACATAATATTTTGTTACAGAATATGAAAAACTACGAATATATACATAAAAATAAATTGTGAATCAGAGGTTTCTCTGTATTTCTTTTTTTAAATTGATTAACTACACTCTACGAGTATAATGTATTATATACCAAGTTAGTATGTGTACATCAATTTTCATACACATAAGCCCTATAATCCGGTGAGCCTTTGCTGTGCCATTTGACCAATCAACCATGTTTTTGATCTAATAAGACATAACAAGCGTTACGCATTACGCCATGACATGAAACAACGTTACAAACAATTAACATTATAACATATTATTATTAGTTATAGGTACACATTAATGAATTAGGACATATTGTATTATATTATATTGCATTATTATAGAAAATATTCACGTCTGATTTCATGATATTTGTAATAAAATATAAAAAGATGTTTCACCTGCGTTGTTATAAGGTTTTATTTAGACGATTCAAAAGAATTTTTAAAAAAATGGAATAATTATAAATATGAAGTAAAAAATTAAAGTCCTTTACAGATAGCCATGTATCATTGCCGTTGTTTGTTGTTGCGTACTGACAAAATTTTATAGAGATTCATTAAAAACACTTAAACTCAGGTCAGCCATTATGTAGTTAATGTAGTTATTACTGAATATAGACGTACTATAATCAATTAAACATTTATTGTAAATTTGAAAGAAGACAATATTATAAAGCAAATAGCAAAACATGAGCTTTTTAAAATTATTAATTATTTACTTAACTTTCATATTTAAGGTACAAAAAATCCCGCACATATTATGTATCATCAATTTGTCGTTTAATTGCCGAGTAATATTTTTCATTAAATAAAAAAAAATGATAAAATTACTATCTTATTATCGGTACAAAAAGCAAAATGTGGGTTAGTTAAATTGTAAAAAAACCAATTGGTATAATAAATATTATAATATAAACGTACGAATCGAATTTTCAATGTAATATTAATATATTAATATGCGACAGTGTTGTTGTAAGTTTGTAAAATAAAACACTATACTGCTTACTGTAAAAAAAAAATAAATAAATAAATAAAATACACATCCCGATGTTATAAGTTATAATATCCGTCTCTTGTGTTAAGTGAGGACGGGTGATCTCGGGGACATGATTGTATACCTTATTCCGGAACAAATACAATATCACATGCACGACTCCATGTAGTGTTGCTAAACACGTGTAAATTATGTTACCGACCTTCTTTGATGAAACGGAAATTATGCACACCGTTAAATGTTTTATGTTAAGCCTCTGTTTAACACAATAAGCGAATGTTCAATACTTAATTTATTTATGTTAATGAATTACAGGGCAGGTGTAACCGAGAGAAACCACCGTGCAAATATTTTCATCCACCGCAACATCTCAAGGACCAGCTGTTGATAAATGGTCGTAACCACTTGGCCCTGAAGAATGCATTAATGCAGCAAATGAATTTGGCTAGTCAACAGATAGTGCCGGGGCAAGTTCCTACAGCAGTGGTAAGTTCATTAAACTTGTACATTACTTACGTCCTGAACGCATAAATATAATTTAGTTAAAGTACAGGAATTAATTTATACAGGTGTAGTAATAATGCTATATAAAATATAATGTGTCCGCGGGGGGGGATGTTCACTTTATTACACCAGAAAATGTTTATCTTATCAATTTATCATATTGTGCGCGTGCGCGTGCACACACAAACATATTATACATTATAATATGACTTCATAACCTACATCGTAATAATTACAAGCACCCTGCAAAAGTAATTACGATTTATTTAATTCCATTTTAAAAGTACAAACATGTTTAATGTAAAACAGATGATTTAACGTTCATATTAAAATCTACATAATCCTTTGCTGATTCAGGTATAAATTGTTACGTAATCACAATATAGAGCGCATTGATAATTTAGCTATTATTATTGTTATAGGTGTTTGTACGGAATTTATTTTCGAATATCCGGTCATCGGTTTAACTGTCAATAAATATTATGTTATAATTAGTGAATGTAACCCATCTGGGTTAGGCTATACTTTATATGTATATTGTAGGTGTATCGGAGTGGCAACTGATATACCTATTTGCGTTAATTACTTTTCTCGTTAATAATTTATTGGAAGGATCAATATTTTCGTGGTTTAAGGTAGAAAACAATTTCAAGAAAAAATAAAAATCAAATTTGTACATTATTTTGCTATTATTTCATATTTTATCAGACGTTAAATTTAATTTTCTAATTTTTTTAATTTAGATCAATAATCCTATTGGCTAAGTTCTCTGATATTATCGTACTTATGTGTCGTGAAATCAATTAATAAAACACTGGACATATATTAATCAAAACAATTGTACACAAATATAATAAAAAAATATGAAAAGTTCACAATTTTTTTTTATTAAATTCCACTCGGTTTATATTAAAAATTCAGTCAAATAAAAATCTGATCGGTTAAATTCTATTATTATATTATACTCATGTATAATATGTTAACATAAAAACTAAAAAAAAAATAATTGGATAGGTATAAAAAAAGAAAGTTTTATATATTTATTTAATTATTTAAATGCATATTTAGGGAAATACAATTTTAATTAAAAATATTATTTTTGATCTGAATTTTTAATTATAATTAATGTCTAACAAAATATACAAAATTTAATTGTTTTATAATTTGGATTTACTTTTTTTGGTGGATATTTTCTTAGATTATCATTTCCGTCTACCGTTAAATTCGATATATTAGGGTAACAAGTTTCTTATAATACAGCATGTTATCATAGGATGATAAAAAATTATGTTGACGGGGGCTTTGAATAGAGCAAAGGACTAAGTAGACCAAAGTTGCACGGATTCATGATGTCGGGTTCAGGTATATGCAGCGAGGGAAATGAGACACCCTGATGTTTAATATTCAATACTATTGTTGGTTTTTTCCCTCTACGATACGAATTATTTTATGCCAATGCGATTGTCGTATAGTGTATACCCCGGGGGTAGAGTATAACAATAATTATATACGTTGGAAAATATAAAGGCGACCCCGCTTTGATTTTTAATTAATCAATGACATTTGTTATAAATTATTGTACTACCGTGATTGCATAATGTGCATATTGTACTACATATTATTGCTATCGTATGGTTTCAATACGTATAATTTTCGATTCCAATTCCTATAATAACACCAATAGTAATATATTTTTTTTAATTTTTGCTCGTTCGGTACGTCCAAATTAGATTCATTATTATGTCAATAGCGTTTTAGTGGCAACAATTTCATCTTTTCTGAGTTCATTTTCAATATTTTTTTATTCCAAGCTACGGTTCAATCACTCAGCCTCAGAACCTCAATAAATTTGTCCTAAAATAAGAACATATCGCGTACTTATACGGTTATACATTCCAAAGAAATCACACAACCTCCCCCCCCCCTCAACTGTCAAATTTTCATTTGCACAAAAATATTTATGGGTATAATACTTATTAACACATTTTTTTTAATGTATTATCACGCCCAAATATGTTGTACTATTGTAGTCGTAAAAATGGATTCAGTATAATAAGAACCTACATTAAAATTCTAATAAATAACTAATTTCTATTTAGTAAAAGTATTAAAATAATCGAATTAAGGTAAGAGATGGGTAGATAATCATTATGCACAAATGTGTTAAATTAATATTTTATTATAGTCTATACTCTATCACAATGACTTTTAACTTTCAATAAACGGGTAAATTTCTTATTTCAATAATGAAGAAAAAATAGATTAATGGGGAATTTTTTTTTTTTTTTAAGTAAAAATTAATCACAATAGGAATTTTGATTTGATCGTAACGATTTATTGATTTATCGTTTCTCTCAGAACCGCCGTGTACGAATTTGATCACTATGAATAATAAGAATAAAGACGAAATGGAAAAATAGTATATTATATTCTATTTTATGTGCCTGATGCGATAAAACCTCGGTCTCACAGGTACTCTGTATAATGTATTTGGACTTGTACGCGTAATGTCAACCGTCGTTAATGGAAATTCGTTGGTTTCCTAGTTGATAACGGGAAATTTGATAAGACTTGTCGATGCGAAGCAAGGACCTATATACAAACCAATATCTTGCCAGCGCAAACGTAATAAAATGAGACACGCGAACCGATGTTTTATTTTATTAATCATCTCAAGAATCCTGCAGCATCGAAGACACAACGCAAAGTGCCGTCCAACATAACGTAATAAAATATAAATGGGTAGATCGTGAATGTCTAATACTTAAATGCACTTTGGATTTTTTTTATCTAAAAAAACGTACTTACTCAAACTACGTGCTTTATTATTCATATGCACGCGTTTGTATGAACACTGTTAGTTGCTACAGCAGTATCACTAGATTTTTTCGCGAGGTGATGACAATATCTTTCAATTTCGTTTGGTACCTAGTACCTACGGTTATCCGTATACTCTTTATGTATAGGAAATGTCTACTAATTAGACACTCACGACTTCATAAAGGTGGTATACCGTTCATTAAAATATTGTATCCTCTCGAAACGTTTGGCTGCATTGTAATATAATGACATTTTATAATTATTTTTTAAATGGAACCCCACAAATATTGTAGGGAAAAATATTTTTCTAAAACATAGATTGTCTCATTTATCCAAAGAAAAAAATATTTAAACCATGTTTCTTTTGACCAACGTAAGCACATTCAATTCGGTAATAATATGTACATGATGTTCTATAGAGTTAAAAAAATAATAAACATAGTTATACTAATATTATTTTATTCTTGGTAATATATCTATTTAGGTAGGGTTAAACTAATATTGAGAGACTAATAAAATAAGTACATTTTACATGCATTTTTAAGTACCTATCTAGAGAAAAGAGCCATAACAAAGACACACGTTTTATTCCAATAGCTTTTATTTTTCAATATGACTATAATGGAGAAAAGTTATTATTTTCATCTCTATAATAATTAAAATGGGCCATTAAACTAAAAAAAGTATTGATTATAATATGTTAATAATTATTTATTAACCTATTTTCCTCCAATTGAAATAGCAACTAAATACTAAAATATTTAATAGTGAGGGAGATGTTATGTCTTGGTTATTTCACAACACGTTAAAAACGCATTTATTAAACTTCCTATCTTTGTTTTGGATTGTCATGCAGATAATTTGTTTGAAAATTTTAATGCATATATTGAAATTGCAATTCAAACGAGCGGTTCCTGAATTATTCTACTACGTATGTACTAAGATCTAAGGTTTATAGTTTATTGAATACTTGAGTATATTATTATAACATATACCTTTGTACCTATGGGTTATACATAAAACATAAAATAGATCAATGAATTTTAATTTGCAAGTAAATATTTATTTTTTTTTTTTTTTTTTAAATACGTCTTATGTTTAACGTTTAACCAATATCAGATCTTGTAATAATGGCTGATCTCATTCGAATATATGATAATAAAAAATAAATTATAATAAATATTGTGACAAAAGCTCATAAGCTGCCGCACACGTGTGTACATTCTCCAATATCTCATCAATCCAATTGTATTTAGGTACTTGTGTCTCTTACGATCAACATAGTATACTCCGTCGTATGTTCATTTTATTATATATATTTATCATAGAAGCACTCCAATTTTTATAAATATTTTGTTATATAAACAATAAAAAAACTCTAAATTAATCTATGTTATGAAATTTGAGAAAATAACTGAAGTTTAAAACTATTTTATAGTTAAAAATTCATAAAAACTTTTTGCTTTATATCTAAGTTTTGAATACTTAATATAAGATTTTTTACAAGTAGTTTATACTGGAACCAAAAAATCTAAAAAAATATAAGCAGACACTATTTTTTATAAACATTTAAAGTTTAATTTGGATAAAATTACTTACTTAAACGATAAACAACGTTGGTTATTATTTTGTTACAATTTAAAAACATTATTCACGGGAAATCAAAACTTTTATGTATATTATAATATTACTATCATACACAATGACATTTTTTATTTATTATAAGATATTTTCTATTTATACGATAAATCAATTTTCCCTGTTTTATGGTATTTAAAAAAAGATATAATTACATTTTGTGAGTTATATAAGTTGATATAATATGGTAAAAATAAAAATAATAATAATTCAATATTTAAACTCGACATCTAACGGCTAAAATACAGTAGAGCGGTACCCAATTGTCTACAGTTTGTTTTTATTACTTTGATTTTAATAAGTAGATATTTTAGCGTTTATATACTAAAAAAAAAAAAATTGACCCGTTTAATAATTCTCTGAAAAAAAGAGGTCTACTATATTTTTGGAAAAACGCCACCGCAGTACTTTAACTTGCACTGAAGGTCTGTAAACTATTAATGCTATAACAAATCTAAGTATTTGGAAATCTTATCTTTGACTATTTTATAGTGGTAAGTTCCTACTTTATTTTTTTCTTTTTA